AGACCTGTTCTTTCCACTGGGATCTTATTCACAGAGATCTTTCATTTAGGTTGTTTTGTTTGTTTGTTTGTTTGTTTGTTTTTGCCAGAGTGTCTTGGCTTTCCATGCCTGAAATACTCTCATGGGCTTTTCAGCCAGATCCGAATGCCTTTAGGACTGATTCTGAGGCCAGAGTGCTGTTTAGGACATCTGCCATTCTATGAGTCTGCTGAGTATCTCGCTTCCCATGTTGGATCACTCTCCCCTTTATTCTATCAGTTAGTATTAGCAGGTACTAGACTTGTTTATGTGCTCCCTTTGACTCTTAGTCCTTTCATTATGATCAATTGTGAACTGAAATTGATCACTTGGACTAGTGAGATGGCATTGGTACATGCAACCTTGATGGGATTGAATTGGAATCCCCTGGTATGTTTCTAACTCTACCATTTGGGGCAAGTCAGCTTGAGCATGTCCCAAATGATACATCTCTTCCCTCTCTTATTCCCACTCTTATGTTTAACAGGGATCACATTTCAGTTAAATTTCAACACTTAAGAATAAATGTGTATTAATCACAGAATTAAACCAGTCATATTAAGTAGAACAGATAAAAAAAAAAACTACTAAGAGGGATAATGTATTAAGTTGTTCATTAACAGTCAGGGCTATGCTGATCAAGTCACCATTTCTCATAGTGTCCATTTCACTTCAACAGGTTTCCTTTTTGGTGTTCAGTCAGTTGTCACCGATCAGGGAGAACATATGATATTTGTCCCTTTGGGACTGGCTTATTTCACTCAGCATGATGTGTTCCAGATTCCTCCATTTTGTTGCAAATGACTGGATTTTGTTGTTTCTTACTGTGGTATAGTGTTCTAAAGAGTACATATCCCATAATTTCTTTATCCAGTCTACCGTTGATGGGCATTTAGGTTGGTTCCAGGTCTTGGCTATTGTGAATTGAGCTACAATAAACATTAGGGTGCAGACTGCTTTTTTGTTTGCCAATTTAAATTCCTTTGGGTAAATTCCAAGGAGTGGGATGGCTGGGTCGAACGGTAGGGTTATATTCAGGTTTCTGAGGAATCTCCAGACTGACTTCCATAGTGGCTTGACCAGTTTGCATTCCCACCAACAGTGGGTTAGTGTCCCTTTTTCCCCACATCCTCTCCAGCATCTGTTGTTGGTAGATTTCTGTATGTGAGCCATTCTAACCGGGGTGAGGTGAAACCTCATTGTGGTTTTGATTTGCATTTCCCTGATTGCTAGTGATCTTGAACATTTTTTCATGTGCCTGTTGGCCATTTGGATTTCCTCTTTTGAAAAATGTCTATTGAGGTCCTTGGCCCATCTCTTAAGTGGGTTGCTTGTTTTGTTTTTGTGGAGTTTCTTGATCTCTTTGTAGATTCTGGTTATTAACCCTTTATCTGTTGCATAGTTTGCAAATATTTTTTCCCATTCTGTCGGTTGTCAAGAGATTTTTAATCTTAAGTATTATGTTTTTCATTTGTCAAGGCTCTTTTATTTATTTTTCAAATTTTCTTATGGTTTCTTGTTCTCTGCACATAGCCTCAGGTTTAATTTTATTTCTTAAAACCTATTATCCCTAATTATATTGCAGTCTTGGGGTAACCACCTTGCTGTGTGAATGACTGCTGCCAGGTTTCTCCTGGATCCCTCTCACCCCTGGTGCCTGTGTGTGTGTGTGTGTGTGTGTGTGCACGCATGCTCATTTGGTTGGCAGGGTAGTTTTTACAAAAACTCTCAGACACCTTTAGAGGGAATCCTTTAAAACCTGGAATGAAGACAGGTTCTTCCAGAGAGTATTTCGTTTATATCCGCAGGGCACTTTGTAAGATTCCTCTAAGTTAAATGCTCACTTGAAATACCTTAGCAGTGTGAAGCCCAGCTAAAAGCCTGTGTGAGAAGCGCTTTGCAGTTCCAAACTCTCAGTGTCTGTTCGCCCCTTCTGCCTGGTGGCCAGCACTGGAGTGCAGCTCCCCTGCTCCCCTGCGTCCTGCTGGGCAGTGTCTGGCTCGTCCTGGGAGGCACCAGCTCTTTGGAACCAGTCTGTGAGGGGCTCCGGTGTTGGTGAGACCAGTACCTTTCACACACGTGCATTGTGTTCCTGCTCCCGTGCTTCAGAGACCCCTGCTGCCTCCATGTAGGCCCACGCCATCATGTAAAGGTCTCCAGAGAGAAGCTGATTTTAGCAATCAGTTCGGCTCTCTGGGTTTCTCTGGGTTCCTGTAATTTCATTTCTGCCTGCAGAATTCCTTACTTTATTGACAGGTCATCGAAACACTGAAGATTTTGTTTTCCAGCCTTTTAGGTGTTATTTGGCAAAAATGAGACTGAAGGGATCCAGCCTAGTCTTCCATATTACCTGCAGATAACCATCCCTGGTACCAGGGACAAATCCCACTTGGTTCAGGTGAATGATCTTCCTGATGTTGGATTTGATTAGCTAATATTTTGTTGAGGGTTTTGCATCTATGTTCATCAGGGATATTGGTCCACAGTTCTCTTTCTCTGTTGTTCCTTTTTCTGGTTTAGGAATTAGGAGTTTGGGAGGATTCCCGCCTTTTCAATTGTTTTGAATAACTTGAGAAGAATTAGAATTAGCTCTTCCTTATTTGTCTGGTGGAATTTAGCAATTAAGCCATCCAGTCCTGGGCTTTTCTGTTTTGGGAGGGTCTTTATTACCAATTCAGTCTCCGTCTTGGTTGTTGGGCTGCTTAGGTGTTCTGTGTCTTCATGATTCAACTTTCAATTTTGGAAGGTTGTGTGTGTCCAGGAATCTATCCACTTGATCTTCTTTTTCCATTTCTTCTAGATTTTCTGATTTGTTGATATATAGCTCTTTGTTGTAATTTCTGATGATTCTTCTTATTTCTGTGGTATCTGTTGTTAAATTCCTTTTTCTTCTCTGATTCTATTGATTTGGGTCTTCTCCCACCTTTTTTGATTTGTTGGGCCAATGGTGTATCAATTTTGTTTATTTTGTCAAAAATAGCTTTTCATTCCATGGATCTTTTGTATTTTTGGGGGGGGGTTTCAATTTTATTTATTTCTTCTCTGTTTTTTTAAATATTTATTTGTTTATTTTAAAGTCAGAGTTACACAGAGAGAGAAGGGGAGAGAGAGAGGTCTTCCATCTGCTGGTACACTCCCCAATTGGCTGCAACAGCCAGAGCTGCACCAATCCAAAGCCAGGATCAGGAGCTTCTTGCAGGTCTCCCTCGCAGGTGCAGGGGCCCAAGGACAACTTCCACTGCTTTCCCAGGCCATAGCAGAGAGCTGGTTGGAACTGTAGCAGCCAGGTCTCGAACTGGGGCCCATATGGGATGCCGGCACGGCAGGCAGCAGCTTTACTTGCCACACCACAGCACTGGCCCCTTTTGTTTATCTTTTAACAGTTTTTTATGTTAAAGTCTATTTTGTCTGATATTAGGATGGCTACACCTGCTCGTTTCTACTTCTGTCAGCATGGAATATCTTTTTCTATCCTCTCTTTCAGCCTGCAGGTATCTTTGTAGAATTCTGTAGAATTTCCACTGTGACTTTCTCTCTAGCTCTCCCCTGAGAATGTACATCCTACACTTTTTTTTTTTAATTTTTTACCCCTAGCCTAGAGCGGTACAGCCTTCCCTGTTCCGCCATCTTGGAATTCCTCACAGTTTACTAACAGTTTAGCATGAGCTTAATTCTGCACAACAAAATGCCATCTAAGGGGATTCTAATGCTAATTGCTAACACTCTCCCACAACTAACTAAGGCACTGGTAGAAACCTTAGCCAGCTGTGATTAAGGCAGGGGCCAGTGCCTGGTGTTTTTGCTCAGGTGCTAAAGAGCACGTCCTTGTATCCCTCCCTGTCCCCATCGTGCCTGCAAGTCTTTATGGTGTGGTGGGCAGCTGTTATCAGTGTCAGAGACTGTTCTGGCCTCTGCTTTTGCACTTGTCCAGAATATGCAGTGAGAATGGCGACTTTCATCACTGTATTATTAACTACATTCCCCCAATACCCTCCAAGAAAGTGACCAATGCCCAGTTTTCACTGGTCTCCATCAGCTACCTCTGCATCCAGTCTAAGAGCACCTTCCAGATCACCTCTAAGGTGAACACAGACCCCTCCCCATCACACAGAGGAGTGGATGTGGTACTTCCTGCGTCAGAGGGCTCCACCTGCCTATTGGACAACACACTGGTTGCTGCTCACTTCTGTTCAGCTCCACACCCTAGCGCCCAAGCCAGAGTCTGGCTCATAGTGGACGCTCCACAAGTATACCTTGACTGGTGACAGACAAGAGCTCAGATACTCTCTCTAATAAAGGACCATACATGTTCTTTTTAAACATTCATTTATCTTTATTCACAGTGCTTTCTCTCTTATGGGACTCAGCATATTTGACTCCCTGAGTCTTCCTCTTGTCTCAGTAACTAGGACAGGAACCCACAGCCACATACATCACAGGCCAGCACACGTGTTTCTGGTGTTTGTTAAAGTGGGGAGGTTCACTGCGTTGGTTGGCTAGAACTCCTGAATCTTGTATGCATGAAACTATGTACACTTGCAGTTTCAGAGCTGGGAGGGGCAGCAGACGGTGTCCACTGCCCCAAAGTGAGCAGTGCCCAGTTGGTTGCAGTGGGCCATGCGTTGGTGGAATTGGCCAGCCTCTCTTCCAGTCAAAAGCAAGCCTGCTCTCACTTGTGAGCCCACTCTAACCCCACCATACCCCTACAGGGAGGGACCACCCACTTCAGGACGGATCAGGCTTGTGGCTATTGAACAGTAAATGTGGAAGACCACTACCCCGGCCTGAGACCCCAGCCAGTGAGGCACACTGAGGCTGGTCCGATTGTTGAGTAACTTGTGACCTGGGAAGAAAGGTTGCTGGAAGCAGCGTCCAGGGAGCCCTCTGTCTCCATGGAATGAGTTGTCCTATGCTTTTCCCAGCCCTCTGGTTTCCAATGACCACAGCCGCCACGGCCTAACCCCGCCTCTGGTTCCCTGCAGCTGCGGGTCTTCAAGCTGGCCAAGTCCTGGCCCACCCTGAACACGCTCATCAAGATCATCGGGAACTCAGTGGGGGCCCTGGGGAACCTCACCATCATCCTGGCCATCATCGTCTTCATCTTCGCCCTGGTTGGCAAGCAGCTCCTGGGCGAAAGCTACTTCCAAAACAGGGAGAAAATCTCTGAATCCAGCGGGCAGCTGCCCCGCTGGCACATGCACGACTTCTTCCACTCCTTCCTCATCGTCTTCCGGATCCTCTGCGGAGAGTGGATCGAGAACATGTGGAGCTGCATGCAGGTCGGCCAGGCAGCCATGTGCCTCGTCCTCTTCTTGACGGTGATGGTGCTGGGGAACCTGGTGGTGAGTTGGGGCCGGCGGAGGGGGCGTCCGGGTTGACTTGCGCGCCGTTACCCCATACCGCACCCGCCGCCTGCAGAGTCTTCAGACTCAGACTGCCCGCCCCGCCCATTATGAGAACTGTGTCTTGGACGGCAGCTGGACTCACAGGACACGGGCACAGCTGGCAGAGACAGACTGGTGTGGAGTCCCCCATCCCACTGCTTGCCAGCTGGGTGACCCATGGCAAGAGACTTAACCTCCTTGTGCTCTAACTTCCTTTAAAAACTGAGCAAACAGCGTTCACTCCCGGGCTTGCTGCAAATCGCCTGCCGCGGGGTCTGGGCCGCGGCAGGAACTGGCAGCTGTTGGAGGAGAGCTTTCCTTGCTCACTCTGGGGCCATGGAGGGAGGGGCCCAACAGAGGAGTAAGGGCTGCTGCTCAGGACCCAGGAGGGCATGGGGATAGGCCTGTGGACAAGACGAAGGCCAGGGGCGGGGCCATGGACACTGGTAGCAGTATCCACTCCCGGGTCTGGGGCGGTCCCCTCTGGAGACCATCCTGCCAATCTGTTGTAACATCTCTTCCCCAGCCCCGACTTGCCCCCACCTGCTCTAGGGCCCCCGTCCTGCCTGGCACTGCATGCCTGTGTGAGAGGAGCCCTGGGAGGTGGCCAACTTGGGTTCTTCTAGAAGGATCTGACAGGAGAATGCTAAGCCAAGACAGGATGTGAAACAGATTCCGACACTTTGAAGTCTTTCCCTCCTGGTCCCTGATCCAGAGATGCCTCCAGCCTGCATCCCCAAGCGTGGGGCTGAGCTCGCCTGTGGAGCCACAGGGGCCCCGACCCTCAGCCAGGAAGCGCGCCTCCCTCCACGCATTCACATCCCTGCATCACTCAGTCTTCACAGGCACTCCGGGGGGTGGGAAGTCCCCAGCCCTGCTCACGTGTGAGGAGGGGGAGCATGTGAAGCCGGAAGCAGCAGGAGACGTGCCCAGGACCCCAGAGGCAGGAGTAGACGCGAGTGCATTAGCAGATGGGGTGACCCCAGTGCTGGCCCACACGGGCTCTTCCCTGCTGTCCCAGGGTGCCACCCTTGGCTCAGCAGGGAGATCTTCCTCCACGGGGGACAGCGTGCCCCCAGCCTTGTCCACAGCGCACAGGTCACCTGGGACATCCCCAGGGCTCTCCGGGAAGAGCATCGCGGGTGGGCAGGGAGAGGCCAGGACTGTGACCGTCCCGCCGTCCAGCCGCAGACATGGCTGCGGTGGGGCCCCGCTGGTTGATGGCTCCGTCTCCCCTCCCACTCCTTCCCCTCAGGTGCTCAACCTGTTCATCGCCCTGCTGCTCAACTCCTTCAGTGCCGACAACCTCACTGCCCCGGAGGAAGATGGGGAGGTGAACAACCTGCAGGTGGCCCTGGCGCGGATCCAGGTGTTCGGCCGGCGCGCCTGGCAGTCCCTCCGCAGCTTCTTCAGCAGGCACTGCCGGCTCCCCCCACCCAAGGCACAGCCCCCGCTGCCGGTGAAGCTGCCGCTGTCCAGCTCCAAAGCCGAGAACTGCATTGCTGCCGATGCGGCCGCGGGCAGCCCTGGAGGGCTCCCAGCTCCCCAGGGCCCCAAGGGTGGACCCGGCGATTTAATCAGCAGCTCCACCGTGTGGGTCTCTGTGCCCATTGCTGAGGGTGAATCCGACCTGGACGACTTGGAAGAGGACGGTGAACAGGAGTCCCAGAGCGCCGGGCAGGATGGGGTCCCCAGAGGACAGGTGAGGGCTCTGCCCTGGGACAGCCCCGGCCAAGGGGGAGGGACGGGGCAGAAGGGAGTCACAACTGAGGCCTTCCCACAGCCGGGCCGGCGTGGCCAGGCCGCAGGACACCTGGATATACGGGGGCATAAACCGGCCCAAGGGCTCCAGAGCAGGTGGCCTTTGAACAGAACCTGAAAGAAAGGGGGCAGGCGGCTGGCGAGCCCCAGGCCACCTGGTGCGACACGTGGGGCTCATCTCTCACCCAGCCGCCCCATTGGCTGGGCCCAGCCCAAGCCCTGCGCATGACATGCTGATGAGATTGCTCCGAGAACACGATGTTGTTCGGGAGCAGGGTTCCTGATGACTGCGTGACTCACGCAGCCAGCTTTGCCCAACAGGTGTCGCCGTGGGAAATGGCACACATTGCTTCCGGAGCCAAAGAACGCAAGGCACACATAAGCCCTTGGGGCCATCCACATTTTTCAATGATTTCACTATTCCTTACTATCTTAAGTTGGTATGCGAGCCCTCACCACCCTCTTCTAAGTGACACACAGCGTGCACTTCTGCACGCTGCCGGAGGCCAGGGATCCCTGGGTGGCCCCTCGGGACATGCGGGGCTGCCGGCCAGGCCGAGTGGCCTCAGGCCGCTGCTCTTCTGTGACCTCTCCCTACGCAGCTGTCGCTTCCCTGTGTGCCAGCAGCCACCTCTCACAGGCCTTTGTCTGGGTGACAGCCGAGGGCAGGGCACTCCCACCCCACCCCACCCCAGAGGGAAGGACAGGAACTCTGTGGGCATTTTCAGTCACTTTGGGAGTTGGGGCGCTCCAGGTGACCAGGTCCACACCCAGTCTCACTCCTGGACAAGGAATACCCGGCACAGGCAGCACCAGCTGAGCCTAGTGCCGTGGCAGAGTGGTGTTTCATAAACGTGGGCGCGTTTCGTCGTCAGAACCGCGGAGCGCTGGATCCTGCCATCTCAGGGTTGCAGGTGGGAGATGAGCAGGGAGGACGCATGGTTCTCCCGAGCTCGCACGGCTTCTGACGGAGCCAGGAGCCAGACACAGAGCCAGACACAGAGCCAGACACAGAGCCAGACACAGAGCCAGACACGGAGCCAGACACGGAGCCAGACACAGCACGCAGCACGCAGCACGCAGCACGCAGGCTGTGCCTGTCTGTGTGGTGGCTGCACACGTGAAGCCCACGGGTGCCGGGAGCGAGCTCGTCCACTGGGGAAGTGGTCAGCCAGGGGTGGCCCAAGCGCCCAGCCGGAACCCCTCTCCCCAGCAGAAACAGCTGCAGCAAGTCGGGGCACCCGGGAGCCCTGGCTCTGGGACATCTTCCGAGGACCTGGCCCCGTACCTGCGGGAGAAGCGGGCCGACGAGGACGCGCTTCAGGTGCCCGCAGAGGTAGGTATGTGAGCGCCCCGAGGAGGTGGGCGCAGGCCGGGCCCCGAGCAGGGCCCCAAAGCGGGGGCGGCGCGGAGCGCTCCAGACTGCACCCAACCCTATGCCTCACTTCTGGTCCTGGGGACCTTCTAAGTCCCCCAGCCTCTGGCTCGGCAGCAGGGCCTCAGCGTCCCCGCCCTGCCCAGGCCGGCGTGGGGACAGGAAGGCAGAGGGGGCCGTGCGGCAGCTGGGGGGCGCTCTGAACCTCGGTCTCTTCATCTGAGAAGCAGGCCGGCAGTGCCTGCTGCGTAGGTGACTTGGAAGCTCAGATGAGAGGGCGCGTGTCAGAGGTGTAGCTCAGAGCAGGTGCCCAGAGAGTGACAGCCAAGGAAGCAGAAACAAAAGACGACTCCCAAGGAAAGGCAGCCATCTCTCGGAGCCAGCCGATAAAAGCCGGAGGCGCCCACGGAGAAGCCTCCCCGACACCTCCCACCTCCCGGCAGTCTCTTGTCCCCATCCCGTCAGGGCTGAGGGATGCCTTACAAGAGGTAAAAATAAGCCGTGCCACTTGCGAGTCTCTGAAGACAGCCAGCTGTCAGGCACCCCGCGTCCATGAAGGGCTGGCAGCTCTAATACTCCAGGTATTAGAATCAAGAATCTGGTCAGCTGGCCACCGAGAACTGCCTGCAGGACAGGCCCAGGCTAGGCCAAGGTGAGGAAGCCATCATCCACCCCAGAGCCCCCCGAGCCCATCAGCCACGGGCTGTGTGCCTCAGGTGAGGCTGACCACAGCAGGACAGGGCCAAAGAGTGGCTGCGGTGGGAGCTGGAGGCGGTTTGGTCCCCACTGGGCGGGGCCGGCCCATCCCGCACACGCGTGGCCTGGGCCCTTCCACGTAATCCAAGCACTCCGCTGTCAGCACACGCCTCGGTGCTGGCTTTGTTCCTGTGTTCCTGTCCATGACCCTGGCCAGGCAGGGAGGGGCCTGGCTGCGACAGACGGGGACCGACCCCAGCATTTGGATCCATTAGCCAGGCTATCGGGTGTACTAATGGGAGAACAGCTCCGACTCCTAATTGAATTGGTCAGCAGACATTACAGGCTGGCGCTGCCAGGAGGGCAGCAGAGGCCCTGCAGCATTGCTCCCTGATTAAATATTCAAGTCCAGCGAGAGCCAGGAGTCTTCATGGGCGTAATTACGGTGTCTCGGGCCGTCGCCAGCTCCATCAGGGCCCGGAGGTCTCCGCTGTGCACAGCTGAGCCTGAGCTCCACACCAGGGTCAGTGCCCGGGGCCTCCACTGTGGGGCACCCAACACACAAGGGGTGCCCGGCAGGTGCAGTGGCGGGAACCCACGCCCTCGGTGCTCCTGCCAGCCCCCGGCTGAGCCTGCAGTGACCGGCCCCCCCCAGAGCTGAGTTCACTGCCTTGGGCCTCTGCCCACAGGGCGTGGAGGACACCAGCTCCTCGGAGGGCAGCACGGTGGACTGCCTGGATCCTGAGGAGATCCTGCGCAAGATCCCGGAGCTGGCGGATGACCTGGAAGAGCCAGAGGACTGCTTCACAGACGGTAAAGCGGCAGCCTGGGCCAGCACCCGGCGCTGTCGGCTCCACGGGAGGCAAACAGGCTCAGGGCACCAGCACCAGACACGAGTGCCACGAGGCGCGGCAGCTGGCAGAGCTGCCTGCCTCTCACGCCACATCAGACACAGCACACGTCTTCCCCGGTGCACTTAGAAAGCCCTCCCTGAGTGACAAACCAGCCACCCTGGGCACCGGGGAGAGGGAGCTGCCGCCATAAATGCTTATGCGGGCGTGAGGGACCCGCGCGAGGCTCCCTCCATGCTTCTGTCACTCAAGGCAGAGCCTGTCTCCGACGCACCCTTTCTCAGCACGTGTTCGTACCATGAACACCTAAGCAGACAGTTCACGCAACGGTCATTGCAGCCTCGATTTTACAAAATACAAATGGGAAGAAAAACGAACGCACTTCTAGTTCCAGTTGACGCAGGCCTCATCCCGGCCACATGGTGACCCCTCGGTTTGGCATGGGTTCAAGGCACAGCCCCTCAGACGGCTCCAGCCCACAGCCGCTGGCTTGCCAGGTTCCCAGGGACCTGGGGTGGGGGCTAAGGACACAGACCACTGGTGTGTCCGTGAGGAGGAGGCTGGGCAGGACGACAGAGTGGCCAAGACCAGAGGAACGCCTGAGGCGCTGGGCTGTAGGACGGCCTGGGAGGAAACGCTTTGCTCCCATATTCCGAGAGAGGCTTCTCACCCAAAGGGCTGTGAGTGAGTTTCCCAGGACAGGGGTCTTTCTGCGGGGCTACAGCAGAAGTGGTCGTCTTTGCCTAATGGGACACCCACCATCGGCCACCTGTCCCCACAGGCTGCCTTCGCCGCTGTCCTTGTTGCAAAGTGAACACTGCCAAGTTCCCGTGGTCCGTGGGCTGGCAGGTGCGCAAGACCTGCTACCGCATCGTGGAGCACAGCTGGTTCGAGAGCTTCATCATCTTCATGATCCTGCTCAGCAGTGGGGCGCTGGTAAGGGAGGGGGCGTCTGCCCCAGAGCCCTCCAGGTGGGGTCTTCCAACCCAGAGGCCCTGGAGCTGCATCCAAGGGCTCCCCCGGCCTGTGCCTGCGAGGAGAGCCACAGGCCAGCATGAGGGCCCAGAGCATGGCAGGTGCCCGTGTTAGGGCCTGCTAACCCTGGCTACAAGCATGCCAGGCCCTGAATGTGTGCTTTCCACGTTAGAGCTGGAGAAACCAAGACAAAAGGGTCAAGGGGCTTGCTCAAGGTCACCCAGCTTATCAGCCGCAAAATCTAACTTTGCCTTTATTTGATCCCAAAGTCCCTGGCCTCCCAGCCTCTGACCTCCCAAAGCTGCTGGCCTCTGACAAACAGGACCGTCCTTCCTTGCCTTGTCCATCCACCTGCAACTGCTCTTTGGCCTTGCAAGCTCACGGAACATCGCTGCAGGGGCACCTCCCCAGGTGTGACCCCTTCTGGGGTGCCGAGGAGACAGCGTTTGGCCACTTCACAGAGCCTGGGTTCAGGTCCCAGCCTCACGCCCAATCCCAGCCTCCTGGCAGTGCACACCATGGGAGGCAGCAGTGTCGGCCCAGGTAGCTGGGTCCCTGCCACCCAAGTGGGGGTCCCTGGTTGAGTTCCTGGTTCCTGGCCTCAGCCTGGCTCAGCCTCAGCCACTGTAGTCCTTTGGAGAGCGAGCCGTCAGATGGTAGGGCTTACCTGCGCTCCCTCTCCCTCTCCTTCCCTCACCTGGGGAGCTGATGAAGAGGCAGATTCTGAGTAGGACGAGCTGTAGCATGGCCTAGACTGCACATCCCCAGCAAGTTGCCAGTGGTGCCTGCACTGCCAGCCATGAGCCACACGGGGCAGCAGGGGGCAGGGCAGGGCCAGGGCCCTGTCTCCAGGGCGACGGAGCAGGCTGCAGGGCCGGGAGCTGCACGTTGGCCTGCACAGGGCAGGGGTGGGATGGCCCTCCCGGCCTGGAGCACAGTGCTCTCCTGCGCTCCCCCCCTCCTCTCAGCCAGCCACCGCCTCCTGCCCCTCCCTTCCCAAGAGGGCCTCAGATCTCGCAGCAGCCACCCCAGCACCCCCATCTCCATCCCCAAGGGACCACACAGCCCCACACCAAACTTCGTCTTCCTTATGCATTCACCTTTTAAAAGTGGCAGGAGTCTTCGTCTGACGACATGAAGCACAAAGGAAAAGAACTTGGAAATGACAGCAAAGGGCAGTGGGAAAACACCCATTTCCTGTCACTCACAGACTTGCACTCAGGAAGCTCTTGGCACGGCTCCCCCCCACGCTTCCCTGCACAGAATCCGGCGCCCTTTGAACAGAAGACCCCCTGTGCATTTGGTCCTGTCTCAGCAGGGTCTCGCAGCAAGAGCTTCCAGACCCCTGCGTGCGAGGGCTGCAACCAGCTCCTTCCTGGCTGTGCTCCCCAGTGTGTGCAACCAGCCCCCACCCCAGCGCAGGCCAGAGCGGGTTCCTTGTGCCCCCATCTTGGTGAAGCCCCCCAGAGGAGCAGAGGAGCGGGGAAGAGCCCGCCTGCGGGTCATGCCCAGCCCCCGCGGGCTGACTGCCGTCAGCCTGCACAGCGTCCAGGTGGGCCCGGCCCTTGTGCCATGCCCTCAGCTCTGTGGGATACCTGCACTGGGGCTTTAACCCACTGTCCACGGCGCGGCCCCAAGGCATCCCCCCCGCGGGTTCGGTGCCAGCTTTCACTCATTTCTGAGAGCTGCCCGGGACTATCCCCAGACGCCTTTCCTTCTAGTCCACACCCCAGGCTCCCTTTAGTTCACTTCCAAAACGCCAGCGAACAGCTTTCCCTCCCACCTGCTTTCGCAGCCCTGCAAAGCATCGACAGGGCTGCCTGCATCCCCGCTGGCTCGCAGCGCCTCGCGGCTGGTCTCTGCCCGAGCCTCCAGCACCGCCCCACGGCACACAGGGCCACGCCGGCCCCCACGTGGGGCCCAGCCGGCAGCCTGTCCTGCCCCTCCCCCCAGGCCTTTGAAGACTGCTACCTGGACAAGAAGCCCACGGTGCAGGCCCTGCTGGAATACACGGACCGGGTGTTCACCTTCGTCTTCGTGCTGGAGATGGTGCTCAAGTGGGTGGCCTACGGCTTCAAGAAGTACTTCACCAACGCCTGGTGCTGGCTGGACTTCCTCATCGTGGCCGTGAGTGCGGGGGGGCGGGGGGCGTCTGGGGCCGGGGCCTGCCCTCTGACTCCTGGCTGTGGCTAGTGCCAAGGCGACTCCAAATAGCCAGGAGCACTGAGCAAGGAGTCTGAGAGGAACCTTGCATACCCGTGCAGGTAAGGGCCAGGCAGCACGGAGTCCTGACACCATGGTGCCCTCAGTGCCCAGGCAGCACAGAATCCTGACACCATGGTGCCCTCGGTGCCCGGGCACCGTGAAGTCCTGACACCATGGCGCCCTCAGTGCCCGGGCAGCACAGAGTCCTGACACCATGGTGCCCTCAGTGCCCAGGCAGCACAGAATCCTGACACCATGGTGCCCTCGGTGCCCGGGCACCGTGAAGTCCTGACACCATGGCGCCCTCAGTGCCCGGGCAGCACAGAGTCCTGACACCATGGTGCCCTCAGTGCCCAGGCAGCACAGAGTCCTGACACCATGGCGCCCCCAGTGCCCAGGCAGCACGGAGTCCTGACACCATGGAGCCCTCAGTGCCCGGACACTGTGAAGTCCTGACACCATGGCGCCCTCAGCACCCAGGCACCGTGAAGTCCTGACACCATGGCGCCCTCAGTGCCCGGGCACCAGGAAGTCCTCACACCATGGCGCCCTCAGTGCCCAGGCACCGTGAAGTCCTGACACCATGGCGCCCTCAGTGCCCGGGCACCGTGAAGTCCTGACACAATGGCGCCCCCAGTGCCCGGGCACCGTGAAGTCCTGACACCATGGCGCCCTCAGTGCCCGGGCACCGTGAAGTCCTGACACCATGGCGCCCTCAGTGCCCGGGCAGCACAGAGTCCTGACACCATGGCGCCCTCAGTGCCCAGGCACCGTGAAGTCCTGACACCACGGCGCCCTCAGTGCCCGGGCACCATGAAGTCCTGACACCATGGCGCCCCCAGTGCCCGGGCAGCTCAATTCTTGGGCCTCCATCCAGAAAGCCCACTGCTCCTCTGCACTTTTATAGCCAAGTCAAGCTGACACGTGAGGCCCTCAAGGGTCTTGACCTTGTACCTGTTGACAAGGCCAGACGCAGGGAAGCCTGGAGCTGCTGACAGTCAAGGTCCTGGAAGGGAAAGACAGACTTGACTCAGCAGCTAGGAGCTGGGGCACAGACCTGGCCAGGGTGGCTGTGTGTTGGCTGAGCGTCCCTTGCCCGGGGCTCAGATCTGTGATAAAGGAGGACCACAGCACAGAGGGAGCCAAGGGCGGGGGGATGCGGAATGAGACACCCGCCTCCTCCCCCAAGGCCGATGCTCCCTCTCTCTGCCCCTCGCAGATCTCCCTGACAAGCCTCATCGCCAAGATCCTGAAGTACTCGGATGTGGAGTCCATCAAAGCCCTGCGGACCCTCCGCGCCCTGCGCCCGCTGCGCGCCCTGTCTCGATTTGAAGGCATGCGGGTAAGACCACCGCGGAGCAGCTGGGAGCCCAGGCCCCCCGACACCCCCACAGCACCCACCCTAAGCTCTGGGCCCGACCACGAAGGTCGAAGGTCGGAGGTCGGCTCTGCGGCTCCGCTTCCTGCCCTGGCGGGCGTGGTGCTGCACAGCCTGCCTCCCTCGTTCTCCCTTCTCACCCAGACACATCCCATCTGCCGGGACTCAGGCCCCACCCCCTCCTGCTCTTAGGTGGTGATGCCCACGCGTGGCCCCACAGGCATCCCAGCTCCGCTCTTGTTCTCGCTGTCATTGTCCTCAGAACCCGCCAGGTTCTCTGTGTTTCCATCACACGGTCGCTGCTCTCCCACTCATCAGCTCAGCACCAGCCATCGGCACCCACCTGGCCCTGTGGCCGTCCTCCCCTCCCCCACCCCCTTCCTGACGCGCATCCTCAGCCCCCACCTTGCTCTCCCCGCCCACCCAGGCTGGCCCTCAGAGGGGGCAGAGAGTGAGGTTTCACGCTGTGTCTACACCCTTGGCTCAGACAGCAGGGGCTTTTGAAACTGACTTGTGCCTTTACAAGCGCGTGAAGCTAGAGATTGAAGTGGCTTGAAATGCATTTCGTTTTGCATCCAGGTTCTTGTTTGCTGACTCACAAATGAGCAGGCTTATGAACACGGATTCAGATGTGCACTGACTCTTGACCACAGCGTGCTTGACACTGCATTGTGTGTGTGGTATTGAAAGGGAACAACGCGAGGTCCCAGAAGACTGCAAGTGCAGTGAAACGCACACACACATGCAACACACGTGCGCACACACACCTGTGCACACACAAACACGCACATGCGCACACGCACACACACATGCACACAGGTGCACATGCGCACACACACATGCACACACATCCCCAAACGAGTGAGTGTGTGCTTGCCAGCCCCTCTTTCGCCTCGGTGCTGAGGGAGACACGGAGACCTGCCCAGATCAGGTTTAGGGAAGGAAGTCCGAGCCTGAGCTTGCTGGTGCGCTAGTTAGCGCATTTCTCTGGCTGCCTTCAGAGCCTGCCGGCTCGAGCAGCACAGGAGTCAATGGGGCCCCGCAGGAGGGAGTTCAGGCTGCGTTTGAGTGTTCTAGGCCCTGTCCTGTTTTTACCAGGTGGTGGTGGATGCCCTGGTGGGCGCCATCCCGTCCATCATGAACGTCCTCCTCGTCTGCCTCATCTTCTGGCTCATCTTCAGCATCATGGGCGTGAACCTGTTCGCCGGCAAGTTTTGGAAGTGCATCAACACCACCGAGGAAGTGTTTTCCATAGTGCCATTCTCCATTGTGGACAACAAGTCTGACTGTATGGCTCACAATGACTCTCGCAAGCTCTTCTGGGTCAACGTCAAAGTCAACTTTGATAACGTTGCCATGGGCTACCTCGCGCTGCTCCAGGTGGTGAGTCAGCCGGCAGCCAGCTGCACCTCTCCCTTCAGCTGCTCGGGGCCTGGCAGGAGATGCCCGTGGGGTTTTGCCAGGGTTGGAAGGGAGAGCCAAGGGCCTTCTCTGTCCTGCAAGCTGCAGCGTGGCCTCACAGTGGTGCAGTGGGGGAGGAGCGTGAAGGGCTGGGGCTGCCAGGAATCGCACGTGTGACCGCTCAGACAACACCACCTGTGCAGAGCGGACAGGTGCAGCCAGGTCTCTGTCTTCCGACCCACATGGTCCCCGAGCAGTCGTGACTTCCGAGTCGGCGTATTGTACGACGCCTCACGCTGACGCCGGCCTCCGATGCAGCCGTGCCGCCTCCCACTCGTTCATCCAGTTACCCAGGAGCCCTGCCTGCTGCCGTTTGTTCCCGCATCCACTGAGCAGCTCTGCTGTGCCGCGTGCTGTGCTTTCCCTCGGGGACACAGTGCAGCCCTGGCTCCAGGGGCCGATGTTTTATGAGAAAAACCCAAGTAAATGAACAGAAACAGCCCAGCAAGTGCTCCAGGAGGCTCAGGGTGCAAGAGGGCACGCCCACGTGCAGGAACTCACAAACACTAAACTGGAGACGGTAGTGTGGGTGGCTTCCGTTCCAGGCGGGGAGACAGCCCGTGCTGATGGCCTGTGCAGCAAGTGCGAACGTGGCTGAGCAAATCTGAGTCCCAAGACAGAGACTCGACCAGGGTCACGAAGCAGCCTGGGAGCAGCTGACTGGAGAGCCAGACATGTAGTCCATGCCCCATTGTGCATGTCTCCATGTCTGCTTTTTATAAGAATTACTTATCTGAAAGGCGAGAGAGAGCGAGAGAGAGAGCTGCAGGTTCACTCCCCAAATGCCTGCAGGTAGCCAGAGCCAGGAGCTCCACCCAGGCCTCCGGTGTGGTGGCCAGGACTCAAGCACTCGGGCCTAGGCTAGGCACATTAGCAGGAATCTGGATGAGAAGGGGAGCAGTGGGATGCACGTCGGCACTCTGATAGGGAATACCGGCATCGCAAGGGCAGAAGCCCACCGTGCCGCCGCCGGCCCCAGCGTCAGTTTATTGTCCCGAAAGCCACATGAGCTGCCGAGCCCCTTGCTCCTCAAGACCCCTTAGCTGGGTGCCTTCCCCCACTCACCAGGGAGGGTCTGGGCAGGCAGAGGGACAGACACTGACAGGCCTCTGCTCCGCATTTCCAGGCAACCTTCAAGGGCTGGATGGAAATCATGTACGCAGCTGTTGATTCCCGAGACGTGAGTCCAAGCCCGCTGTGCCCCCAGCCTTCCTCTGCCCGTGTCCCACCCATGCCGGTCTGTCCTTGACAAGAGCGGAACGTGGCCTTATGCCGGAGCAGCCTCACGCCATCCCTGTGTGCGCAGTGTGCAGTGGTCCCTCTGTCGGGTGTCCAAGCCCACCCCGTCCCCTCCCATACACACGCCTCTGCTCCTCCCAGAGGGAAGCAAGCATCAGGTAACGGAACAGGCAGTGTGTGTGCAGGAGTTCCCTGGGCGGGAGCCAGGTGGGGAGGTGCTGCTGGGGGCGGAGCCTCTCGGGCCGTGGCAGCCGCCGGACGTGCCTGCCCCCACGGCCTGGCCCACCTGGGCTCCTGGCAGGCTGCTCTTCCGGTGCCTGCGGAGTGTTCTGGGCTGGCTCAGCACCCCCAGAAAGAGGGAGATTCGAGGTCCGCGTGGGCGACCCTCATGCACAAGTCTGGTGAGACTGTAGAAAATTCCCGAATGCTCTGGGGGTGCGTGGCTGAGCCGCGTCCTCCACAGCTGCCCGCCGTGGCCGCCCATGCAGCCACACCCCTCCCGCTAGCCTTTCTGGGCTCCTGCTGCTTCCCCCCGCGCCCATTCCTGCCTCCCCAGCTCCGCTCCCAGGTGAATGGCCTGTCTCAGGTGGGCGTTCGGGCCAGCCCCTCCCCTTACCCACCTCGTCTGCTCACAGGTCAACTGCCAGCCCAAGTGGGAGGAAAACCTGTACATGTACCTGTACTTTGTCATCTTCATCATTTTCGGAGGCTTCTTCACCCTGAATCTCTTTGTTGGGGTCATAATTGACAACTTCAATCAACAGAAGAAAAAGATAAGTGGGGCCTGGGTGCTTCTGCCCACAGGGACTCAGCCTTGGCCTGGAGACCACTCGCAGCCCTTGGCGCCTGACCCGGCTCTGGCCTTCAGCACCAACACCACCTGCCCTGGCCAAGCCCTCGCCCCTGTCCACTGCTGGGACATTTGCGTTCCTCCCGTGGCCACGCCACCCCTCCCCTCCCCCGCCCTGGGTCCCCAGTCCTCCCACTGGCACAGGTGGGACCCCGTGGGCAGCATCGGGAGAGAAGGGGCTGCGCCCCCAGCTTTGTTTGAGGCTCTGGCCCCTCCAAGGGCTGGGTTGGGATGGCACAGGCAGAGCCGGGGCCCCGGGCCCAGCAGAGTCCCTGTCTTACCTCCATTCACTGTCTGACTCGCCCGGGGAGGGCCTGATCCCACTGGCTGGTCAGCACCCAATCCCAGCCAACCTCTCGTATTTGATATTCCAGCCGTGAGACCAGTGCAGGTGAGCCCAGGCCCCCGTGCCACCCTCCCTGCCCCTCAGGCTGGTGGGGCGCCACTTTAGATCGGAGCGTGAGGGGTGACGCCTCCGGCTCCGTGGGCGCCCGGGCTGGCCTTCCTGACTCAGTCCCCTGCCGGCCACATCGCACATCTCCCCAAGTCTCAGGTAAACAGAGCCCAGTTCAGGAGTGGACACTCAGAGCCAGGGATCACTAGGACACATCCAGCAAGGCAGGCGTCCTGCCGACCAGGTCCGGGGCATCCGAAGTGGGCAGGACAGGTCTGTGGCTGCCCTACGGGGGCTCAGCACGACAGTGCCCGCTCATCAGAACCTAGGGCTTTGAGCTCACGGCAGCGGCCCCTCTCCCCTTCAAGGTGAGGGGACAGAAGCAGGGACACAGCTGGCCTCGTTAGTGGCAGAGCCAGGGGTCCACGGTGTCCCCCCGAGTCCTCTCCAGGAGGCCTTTGCTGCAGAAGCGGTCTCAGGAGTAGAGTTTTCCAGCACAGATCTCAGTGCTGCCCCGCGCTTGTGTCCAGAAGTTGCCCAACATCCCTTCCCGGCCCCACGGAACTCGGCACTCCTCCAGCACGTGCAGTGACCCATCTGTGCCAACATCCTTCTGAAATGGGTGGTTTCAAATCCTGTTGGAAGGTGCAAGGAGAGGGGTGGGGTGCAGCACGCCCGCGGGATCCGTAAAGAAAACTCGCACGATGAGATTGCTACCACTGCAGCAGCGCAGGGAGTGCAGTCGGCAGGGCCTCGGGAGAACGGGCCACGGTGCCTCTGAGGCCGAGACCCGGGGAGAAGGCCACGGATGTCCCCAGCTCCTCGCCAGAGGGGCTGAGCCCCACAGGGCTTGCTCCAGAGGCCCTGCGGGAAGCTCTGGCCCCTTGGCAAGAAGCCCAGTGAGTTTCACTGCAAGAGGGTTGGGCCCAAGGCTCAGATGGGAACAAGCAAGTCCTTCCCCCTGGAGTCCAGCTCGCAGGCCCTCCCTCTCGTGTATCCAGGCAGCCCCTCTGGGTCCCCGGAGAACAGAAACCAGCTCTGCTTCAGAGACCCGCACGGGAAAGCCCGGTTGGCCCCAGCCCCACAGCTCTGCCATTGCTTGAGGCACCCAAGCAAGACGCCCCCGGTCCTGGGCTCGGCGTGTCTCTCCGCAGAGGAGGGGAGACGCCGGCATGGACCTCCCCCTCCAGCATGCTCCCCGGGGGTTCCTGTTGTGTTAGTAACAGAGTGTGGCCCTCTCGTGCACCTAGGGGGCCAGGACATCTTCATGACGGAGGAGCAGAAGAAGTACTACAACGCCATGAAGAAGCTGGGCTCCAAGAAGCCCCAGAAGCCCATCCCGCGGCCCCTGGTGAGGCCCAGCGTCGTGTCTGTGGCCCCAGCCCGACCGCCTCTCCCGGCCAGCGCAGTCTGCACAGGAGAACAGGGTGGAGTTTGGAGATGGGGCGATGAGGACTCCCAGGCCCCAGGCCTGAGGAGTTTGTAAACAGCTCTGGTCTGGGATGGATGTGGCCCCTACAGGGGCTCCAGACAGACCTGCGGAAGGCAGAGCCCCCTCAACAGATGGGGGACGACCCCCTCCAGCCCCGGGAGAGCTGTGAGGCGGCAGTTGTGCATGGGCCCACGTCCTTTTGAGTCTGTCAGCTCGCTATAAGCCAGCAGGGGCAGCCCTCCCACCACGACGCAGAGGCCAAGTGAGCCTCGCTGGAAGCTCCCTGCTCTGACAGCCCCTGACGGCTCCCTGGTCTCCCTCACAGACACACACCTAGCATGTATGCAACAGGTACCCGTGTGCAGCGGGAAGGGTAATCCAACCTGGTAGGGCGGCTGGTGCATCGTACTGAGGTGTAGACCACTCAGAGCGGCCCACTCTGTCTTCCGCGCATTCGCCAGGCACTGGGGGGACCCAGGGTTAGCGCAGTGAACAAGGGGAACCAAGTGCCTGCGCTCAGAGAATACACCCCGGGGCCGGCACCACGGCTCACTAGGCTAATCCTCCGCCTTGCAGCACCGGCACACCGGGTTCTAGTCCCGGTCGGGGCGCCAGATTCTGTCCCAGTTGCCCCTCTTCCAGGACAGCTCTCTGCTGTGGCCCCGGAGGGCAGTGGAGGATGGCCCAAGTGCTTGGGCCCTGCACCCCGTGAGAGACCAGGAGAAGCACCTGGCTCCTGCCATCGGATCAGCGCGGTGCACCGGCCGCAGCACGCCAGCTGCGGCGGCCATTGGAGGGTGAACCAACGGCAAAGGAAGACCTTTCTCTCTGTCTCTCTCTCACTGTCCACTCTGCCTGTCAAAAAAAAAAAAAAAATAGAATACACCCCGGGGACAGGGACAAATCTAGCAGAAACCACACATGTGCTAATTCCCGGGCCGGAGGAGTGCCGGGCTGGAGGGAGAAAGAACAGAGGGAAGGGCAAAGGTGCCCGCAGTGGAGCCTCGGGGACTGCAGTGTCCGAAAGTGGGGCGGAGGAGACTTGAAAAGGCAGCCTGGGGGCCAGCGTTGTGCTGGAGTGGGTCACGCCACTGCCTACACCGCAGGCATCCCATGTGGGCACCAGTCTGTGTCCAGGCTGCTCCACTTTCAATCCAGCTCCCTGCTAATGGCCTGGGACAGCAGTAGAAGATGGCCCAAGTGCTTGGGGCCCTACATCCACCTGGAGACCACTGCTGGCTCCTGGCTTTGGATCAGCCCAGCTCCAGCTGTTGCAGCCATTCGGGGAGTGAACCAGTGGATGGAAGACCTCTCTCTGGCTCTCATTCTCTCTTTCTCTCTCTCTCTCTCTCTCTCTCTCTCGCTGTGCCCTATAAATAAATCCTTTTTAAAAAGCAGCCTGAAGGGCAAGCAAAAATCAGAGTCAGATGTGAAGGAAAACATGGCAGGGAGCTTCAAGGTCAAAGAGATGTGAAGCAGCGTCCAGCAAGGCCCCCTTGGATTGCACAGGAGTCGTCAGAGGTCTTAGCGAGAACCGCGTCAGTGGCAGGATGGGGGCCAGAACAGTGTTGGGCAACGAATAGGAGGCAAGGGGTTTGCACAGCTCTTTCAGCAAACCTAGCTGTGAACATGGGGAGAGACCACAGCTGTAGTTGGAGCCTCAGGAAGAGTTTAATTAACGTGAAGAGTGGTTAAGTCACTGCAGGTTTACCTAAGGAGCCAAGGACTGAGAGACATCCACATAAATGTCAGAAGAGTGGCGACAGCCAAGGGAGGACAAGTGTGACCAAGAGCCTGACCCAGCAGCAGCAAAGCAAAGGGACCAGGAGGCCGGTAGGGGGTGGTGGTGAGCAGGTGACCGGCTCCAGGGGAGGAAGGGTTTTATGTGACACGGGACAGCACAGGGCTTGGGGACAGTGGGGAACAAGGAGGAAGCCGGGCCTGACCCTTACCCTGCGGTGTTGGGGCAGAGACAGTGGTGGCCTTTGAGTAGGAAGACGTGTTTTCAGCCCAGGGCAGCACCACACGGAGGAGGTCTAGAAAATGACGTAGGGACTAAGGGCTCGCACAGCAGTAGGATGTTAACAGTACAGGAAAGCATAGAGGGCCACATTAAAAATAACCAGATGCAAATGACCCCGGTTACCCAGGCCCCTGTGCCTCTCCCGAGAGAGGGCAGAGAATCAGGACCTGACCGGATGCCCTGCTTGCATCGGCTCGGACGTCTGTGCACCCCAGGAATAGAGAGATTTCTCAGGGGTAAGTCGCGTCATTGCACACCTTACCCTCAGCAGGTGCCCTCCCCTCAGCAATTCTGCAAGGGCTTCCTGAGCCCTCGCTCCACGGGGGGCCCTGAACTCAAAGGGCTCGTTGTCTAGTAGAGGTGAGAAGCGTCCACGGGGGTCAGAACTCGGGGTCAGCGTGGAGGCTGAGGGAGCCAAAGAAGGGCCAGCGCAGTGTGCCCGGCGCGACGAAATGGAAGAGTGGCCCCTCAGGACTACTGGAACATAATCCCCAAGAGAGCAGACTGGACTGGCACTGCAAGGGGAGGGAAGACCACAGAGCAGGTCGCAGGGAGCGCCCGAAGGCCTCCGAGGGCTGGGAGAGGTGGCGAGGGCTGGAACTGGGGTAATGAAGTAGAATCTACTTGAAGAAGGATTTTGGAATGGACAAGATGTGGCTTCTGTCTGGATGTAGAGTGAGAGAAGAGAGACAGACACTTGAAAAGATGCACTTATTCATTTGAAAGGCAGAATGACAGGAAGAGGGGAGAGACACAGGGAGGGAAAGAATCCTGCGTCTACTGTGTCACTCCCCAAAGGCCATAGCAGCTGGCGCTGGCCGGGTCACAGCCAGCAGCCGGGGGAGTCTCCCACGTGGGTGCATGAACCCGAGTCCCTGGCTCACCTTCTGCTGCCCCGGGTGCATTAGCAGGAAGATGGGCTGGAGGTGTGGGCCAGCAGGGACCAGCGCTGGTGCTTGATATGGGATGTGGGCATTCCAGACTGCAGCTTACCCACCGTACCACAGTGCCCACCCCAGGCAGGCTTTTAACACGCATCTGTGGGGGACCCAGCCCCTCCGGAGGCCTGTTCCTTGTGCCAGCACAAAGGCCCTGATGCCGCCACCCCTTGTCTTCCCAGAACAAGTGCCAGGGCTTCGTCTTTGACATCGTGACCACACAAGCTTTTGACATCGCCATCATGGCCCTCATCTGCCTCAACATGATCACCATGATGGTGGAGACTGATGACCAGAGCGAGGAGAAGGCCCAGGTCCTCAGCAGGATCAACCAGTTCTTCGTGGCTGTCTTCACGGCCGAGTGTGTGCTGAAGATATTCGCCTTAAGGCATTACTACTTCACCAGCGGCTGGAATGTGTTTGACTTCATCGTCATGGTCCTCTCCATTGGGAGTAAGTGGGCAGCTTGGGGGGGTGAGGGGAGATCTGGCCTCTGGGGTCGTCTGGGCTGCTTTCTGAAAACCAAGATGATTCTTCAAAATGCATGGTAGACGTTGAGAACCATAGATTGGAAGTGTCCCCGGCTGCTCTCTCCACGCCGTCGAGTCTGTTGGGGCACCTGCCGGGGGCACAGCCCAGCTCCAGAGACCCAGCGGCTGTCGGGGGAACACCGGCTCCTGAGCCTCAGGCTGGAAGGTGAGGGCGTCTCCAGGGGCCGCCTTCAGCATCTCCGGAGTAGGTGGTGGGTGCTGTGATGTGTGGTGAGTTCTAAAGTCCAGCCTGGCAGGGAAGAAGTGGGCTCCCAGCAGAACAAGGAAGGGCCAGGAGGGCTCTGCTAAGTGCACCACTAAGCCGAGGCCCTGGAGTCCAGTGGCTGTCCACGGAGGGCCCTGAGCAGTAGGAAAGTCGAGAGCTCCCGGCTCTCAGGGTAGCACTGGGTGTTGAACCCGGGGCTGCGGGGGCACCGCTGCTCAGGGAAAGTGGTAGAGTCTGAAGCTGGCTTGGGGGATGGAACCACGACAGCCCTCGCGGAGTTCCCGGCACTGGGCCGGGCAGCCCTTGGAGGGTGGTGCCCTCACTGAGTATACGTCAAATCAGACCCCAGAGACTCAGCAGTCACACGAGGGCACAGCGTTCACGGAGGGCAGAGCTGGATTCAGACCAGGCTGCTCTCAGGAACTAAGGGCCTCCTTCCACAGCCGGCAGGCTGCCCCTGCACTGCTCGGGGCTCAGCTGAACGGTGACCCTGAGAAGCCAAATCCCAGCTCACGAGCTTCACTGTGCATCGGAAGTAAACCCGTAAACCCTTGTGGGGAAATCCTTCTCCTTGTCCTGCCAGGGCGGAGCTGTACATTAAATTCCCATCGATTTCCTATCAGGAGCTGGTAGCGTCTCAGCAGGACTTGGCAGCATTTGCGCGGTCTCACCTAGCCTTGGTGAGGAGTTGTTTTTCTTTCTGTCTGTCTCGTTGTTGCTGCTGTAGTTTTTTAACCACTTTATCGGGGTAAGACTGACATACAGCAGTCTGTGTCTATCCAGTGTATGTAATTTGTGCTTGGAGATGAGGAGGTACCATGAAACCATCACGCCATCACCTCCAAAATGTCCTCCTGCCTGATTTACTCATTAATTTCCTTGTATTATGTGCTAAGAACACTTAAAATATAGTTGCTGTCTTAGAAATTTTTAAGTATACGATACAGTATTGTTAACGTTAAGCACTATGGAACCAATGGCTGGAAGTGCACGCACCCCAACGCTGCCTTTCAAATAAATAAGCAAACAAACATTAAAAACCGGCACTGTGCTGCAGAGCACAGCTGTGGAGCCTTCCCACCTGCGTGCTGCGTGCTGAAGCTTCGCGCCCTCTGCCTCCGCCTTCCACTTCCCCTTCTCCCCCCACGGAAACCACCTACTCTGGCTCCCTCGAGACTGGCTAGTGCCAATTTCTCGTGTGGATGGGCCCTTCTCACATTTGCCATCTGCACCTGCCTAATTCACATAGCATAGTGGGGCGGGGGGGGAGCAACAGGTTGGTTTTTATCAGTTTTTGTTTTGCTTTGCTTTGCTTCACTTTCCAAAGGAGAGCTGTAAACCCTTCTTAGTTTATATTAAAGGAATGAGCTTCCTTATGTAACTTCACATATCATCAGGCTAGAGATAAAATGCACCCCAAGTAGTCAGGTCTGTGATGAGGACACATAGCTACCAGTGAGCAGGAACCGCTCGCGGAGGCAGCTGGAGTGCACACGGAGGCACCCGCCTGTCTGTCTGCCCTCTCCCTCCCTTCCTTCTCCACTCGGAGACAGTCACCGAGTATCTGATGTTAAAGTGTGAGGATTCATCTACCCTGAGTAAGGGCCTGACGTAACTGAAAGCAGAGACCAGGCCCAGGCAGCAGGCCTGGAGTTAGGACAACGATGTCGACGCCCATGCCCCACAGCAGGGCGCCTGGATTCAGTATTTGTCCAGCGAGGGTCCTCGCTAGCCACAGTGATGGTTCAAGCACTTGGGTTTCTGCCCTCCACACGCGAGACCCAACTTCGGGCAGACCATTCTCAGCTACTGGAAGCATTTGGGAGTGAACCAGCAGATGGCAGCTCGCTCACTCTGTGTGTGTATCAAATACAGAAGTAATATTTTTAAAAGCTGAAGGCCAGCGGTTTAGCAGAAAACTATAGACTGTATGGACACACGATGTTCCCGTACTATAGGAAGATGTCCCTGTCAAACTGGACTTTAAGAGAAAGATATTCCCAAAGATTGCAGAATCCAGGATCACAATGATTTCCCAAGGCCTTTCCCACTCCCTCTCTCCTCCCAGCGCAGCACTGAGACCAGCCCTGCGGCATGACAAAGGGCAGGCCAGGAATCAGCGCCCCTGAGAAGGCTCCTTCACCACCTGTCCTGAGGAGTGCGGCCCCCCAGCCCCAGCCCTGGCCTCATCACTGGGACAACTTTGGTTCCAATGGAGCCTCTGTGGGTCCCAGCAGGCTCCTACAGGTCCCCAAGACCAAGCTTCAAAAACCCCCAACTAGACATCAAATAAGGGAACATATACCTTCTTCATCCTTCAGCCTTATTCATAACTGAGTCTGGGGGCAGTAACTGACCCTAAAAAAGCCCATCTCCGGGCCCAAACTGAGTTCAAGCACAGTGGGAAACGAAAGGAGCAAATTAGCACCATCATACAGACATCTGGCCATCCAAAACCAGTCCGCTTCAGCTGTCGGCAAGCTGCTGACTCCTTGGGATCCTTATAATTAACCCGGGCTCTGTGCAATCATCCACGGGACCCTGCGCCAGGGACTGATTCTGCACAGTAGGAGACAGGGAGACAAGTCCGTGGGGGCCTGGGCGTCCCAGGGCCTGCGTTGAGAACAAGGTGCAGCGTCGGGCAAGAGCAGACAGCGTGAGAGCCGTGGGCACGTGGGTGCGGTGCAGTCACTTCCAGCTGCAACGGGCTGCAGGAGACAGGGCTCTGACCACAGAGGTCGACTTAAGAAGACAGCTGTGGGTGGAGGGAAAGGCAAGGACATAGTGGGAAAAGCAAGGCTTCCGGGAGGGGTAGCAGATTCGCGCAATGAGCATTTCCTGAGCCCGCTCCCTGCCGACCTCTGTGCTAGGCGTGGAGGACCCGGAGTCCTTGAGGACGAGTGTTCAGGTGTGGCCAGCTGGGCTGGTGGTCGGTGGTGCTAAGTAAATCAGCCCCACTCTTTTTTTCTTTTCTTTCTTTTTTAAGGCCTGCTGTTTTCCGCCCTTCTTAAGTCGGTTGAAAGTCTCATCTCCCCGACGCTCCTCCGCGTCATCCGCCTGGCCCGAATCGGCCGCATCCTCCGGCTCATCCGGGCGGCCAAGGGCATTCGCACGCTGCTGTTCGCCCTCTTGATGTCCCTGCCCGCCCTCTTCAACATCGGGCTGCTGCTCTTCCTGGTCATGTTCATCTACTCCATCTTCGGCATGGCCAGCTTTCCCCATGTGAACCACGAGGCCGGCATCGACGACATGTTCAACTTCCAGACCTTCGCCAACAGCATGCTGTGCCTCTTCCAGATCACCACGTCGGCCGGCTGGGACGGCCTGCTCAGCCCCATCCTCAACACGGGGCCGCCCTACTGCGACCCCAGCCTGCCCACCGGCAGCGGCTCCCGGGGCAACTGCGGCAGCCCCGCCGTGGGCATCCTCTTCTTCACCACCTACATCATCATCTCCTTCCTCATCGTGGTCAACATGTATATCGCCATCATCCTGGAGAACTTCAGCGTGGCCACGGAGGAGAGCACGGAGCCGCTGAGCGAGGACGACTTCGACATGTTCTACGAGATCTGGAAGAAGTTCGACCCCGAGGCCACGCAGTTCATCGCCTTTTCTGCCCTCTCAAATTTTGCAGACAATCTCTCCGGCCCCCTGCGAATCCCAAAACCCAACCAGCACATCTTAATGCAGATGGACCTGCCCTTGGTCCCTGGGGATAAGATCCACTGCTTGGACATCCTGTTTGCCTTCACCAAGCATGTGCTGGGAGACTCCGGCGACTTGGATTCTCTGAAGGCAAATATGGAAGAGAAGTTTATGGCTACTAATCTTTCCAAAGCGTCCTACGAGCCAATAGCAACCACCCTCCGGTGGAAGCAGGAAGACATTTCAGCCACTGTCATTCAAAAGGCCTATCGGAGCTACGTGCTGCACCGCTCCTCGGCCCTCGCCAACCCCCTGGGGGTGCCCAGGGCAGAGGGGGAGGTCGGGCCACCCCCAGGAGATGAAGATTGTGCGCTTCCAGACAGATCTGAGAGTGCGTCTGCCACGTCTTTCCCGCCATCCTATGACAGCGTGACCAGGGGCCTCAACGATGCCGTGCGCGCGAGCGCCTCCAGTTCACTGCAAGATGCAGACGAAGCCACCAGTAACGAGGTGACGGCCCCCGGGCCCTAGCGAGGCTACCCCGCTGGGACATATCCGGTTCGGATGGGTTTCTCTGCTCTGTGCTCGCTCTTGCCCGCTCTGGAGGTCACCCAGCCCCATCCTCACCACTGCACGCCCCTGGTCACCAAGTCAGAACTGGGCAAGGCTGCAGCTGGGCGAGCCTTCCTCCCGACGGGTGTCAGAAGCCAAGAGGGTCTCCATGGTGACGTCCCTTCCGAATTTCACCATCAGAGCATGGGGTCTCTTCCTTTCCGGAACACGTCCTGGTCCTTTAACTTCGACTATGACCAGAGGCCATGTTTACCAAGACAGACTTCTCCGGACAGAACCCGCAGGCATGTGGCCGCGTGGAAGCTGCCGTGTTACTTAGGGCCCTGCATGACTGCATGCTGAGAGCTGGCGGACAGCTGCCCTGGCCTGGTAACACCTGTGCTCTGCACAAAAGGCCTGGGGGGTTTCATTCAGAGTTCCTATTTCTAAAGGGACAGCAAGGCCAGCGCCGCATCTCAAGACGTCATCTTGTTTCTTCTTGCGTGTGTGGTGCTGACCGTTGGGAGTCACCTCCCGTTCAGGACTCCTGATGCCCTGCAGCTTGATCGGGAGGCTGGGTGGGGCAGGGGGATCCCTCCCTGGGAGCTGCAGAGGCCGGCCACCCCTCCCACAGATTGCTGGCAGACCAGGGCCAAGGTCTCCGCCCTCTGCACCTTGGTCTCTCCCAGAGTGAATGCGTTCGGCACCCCTCCATCTCAGGGTGGAACTCAGTGGTCACTGTCCCCACTGGTGATGGGAAAGCACTCTGCTGAGGCTGCGTGGGGAGACCTCTCTGCCAAGTTGCCACGGAGGCTGTGGACGCATCCCAGAGCCCAGCTCAAAGTCAGACTTTCAGGAGCAGAGTCTGCACGTCCCCTAGGGCCAGAACTCCATGGTTAGTCCAATCAAAGAAAGACCGGGGGCGGCGCTGTGGCCGCATAGGTTAACCTCCACCTGTGGCGCCGGCATTCCTTGCGGGCGCCGGTTCAAGTCTTGGCTGCTCCACTTCCAGTCCAGCTCCTTGCTCATGCACCTGGGAAGGCAGTGGAAGGCGGCCCAGTGCTTGGGCCCTGCCCCCCGTGTGGGCGGCCCAGAGGAAGCCCAGGCTCCTGTTTTCAGATGGGCCCTGCTCCAGCCATTGCAGCCTTTTGGGGAGTGAACCAGCAGATGGAAGACCTCTTTCTCTCTGTCTCTCCCTCTCTCTCTCTCTCTGTAACTCTGCCTCTCAAATAAATAAGTAAATCTTAAAAAAGAACTTTTGGAAAGATTTGGTAGACAAAAGATACCGCCAGTAGTTTCCTTCATTCACCCTACAGATGTGATTAAGCGCCACTGTATGATGGGCATTGCTCCAGGAGGAGATAAGAGAGGAGTCGGGTCCCAGAAGGTGAATTTGTTTAGCAGTGAATGTAAGGGCTGCTGGAGGAGTGCGTTCAGGCCAAAGGCACATGGAGGTGTGGGAGACCGGTCTGCCATGTGGCCACGAAGAGGTGGAGGACCCTCTGTGGAGTGGAGTCCAGTGAGCGGTCTGCAGGGGCACTGTCCTGGAAGGGATTAACAAAGTTCCCATGGGACCCCCGAGTGGGTTCTCAAGGGAGCCTGAGCCAGACCCCCGAATCACTGTCTGGTTTCCGTCTGGAGACCTGATCTCTTCCTGCCACGTGCGCTTTTACACGCACCACCCACCGTGAGGGCCTAACCAGAGCCGAGCTCATGAACCCTTGACCCTGAGTTCTACCTGCAGCTACCCGGCCGTTGCGGCAATGGCTTCCACTGGTAAGGGTCTTCCATTGTGGTGCTGAGAGCGGCCTCACCACGGGGCCTGTGAGTGTGCTGTACTTGGAAACCAGGTCTTAACAGGCATAATCAAATTAGGATTAGGTCACGCTGGGGTCCAGTGGTTCCTAAGCCGATGACTGGTGCTGTTTTGGGAGAAATGGAGATAAACCTACGGCAGGATATCTTGTGAACTCACACACACGACAGCGGTGTGAAGACAGGTGTAAGTTGAAGTGACACAGCTGCAAGTCGGGGAGAGCCAGGACTGCTGGCAGGGGTGGGTGTGGTGCAGTGGGCTAAGCTGCCGCTCGGAATGCTCCTGTGCAGCCCTACAGAGAGCCGGGGTCAGGTCTCGCCTCTGCTTCCCAGCGGCCTCCTGGGAGGAAGCAGACGCAAGCCCAAGTACTTGGCGCCCTGCTGTGGGAGACCCAGATGGACTTCCTGGCTCCTGGCTTCCGCCTGACCCAACCTCAGCTGCTGTAGGCATTTGGGCAGTGAAGCAGCAAAGACGAGCTCTCCTCCTCCCCCCCCTCCCCCACCCACCCCCACCCACCCCCGTCCCTGTCACTCTGACTTTAAAACAACTAACTAAATACATGTTTATAAAAAGACTTCTGGTAACCACCAGGCGTGAGGAGGCGGCAAAGGAGGTGAGGCTCTTCCCCCGAGGCTTGAGAGAGCCCGGCCCAGCCAGGACCTTGGTTCCAGACTTCCGGCCTCAGACAGTGGGAGAGTAAGTTTCTGCGAGCGCAAGCCCCCAGGTTGGGGTGACTTGTCACAGAAGCCTAGGAAGCTGATGCACCCGGGTCTTTGCACACGATGTCCTCTCTCAGATCACAGCGGGAGTCATCGAAACCCTGTGCACACGCTCGCAGGCGTCTCGCGCTGCAGGCCTCAGAAATACGCCGATGCGGATGCAGAAGTATCTCTGGAAACCAGGGATTCAGTGCCAAGTTCAGCTGGGACAATTACCGGCCGGAACTGCTTGTCTAGGGGACAAACCGGAGGGGTGCAGGGCAGAGGGACAGCCAGAGCCTTCTCACCCTCTCCCACAGGAGACAGGAAGTGAGGGTGCCCCGCGCTGGCGGGGAATAAGGCAGAGCAGTGGTGCGGCCCCGTGAGGAACTGCAAACACTCGGCTGGTGGCGAAGGGCACGCGGGAGCTTCCGTCAGCCCAGAGGGTCAGGTGTGGGCGGAGCCCTGGGCGTCAGCATTGGCCTTAGAGCAAAAGACAAATCATGTTCCTGAGTCCTGGCAAAAATAGGACTGCGGCTCACCGATGCTCGGTCTGCAGCTGATTAATGTTAAAAAAAAAAAAAAAAAATTAAAAGCTGAGGCCGGCAGGACGGCACAGCAGGCTAAGCGGCCGCCTGCAGTGCCGGCCTCCCATGTGGGCTGGGTGCATGTCTCAGCTCTCCACTGCCGGCCTCAAATGACTTTTTTTTTAAATCTTGAAGATGGGCCGGCGCCGCGGCTCACTAGGCTAATCATCCGCCTGCGGCGCCGGCACCCTGGGTTCTAGTCCCGGTTGGGGCGCCGGATTCTGTCCCGGTTGCCCCTCTTCCAGGCCAGCTCTCTGCTGCGGCCCGGGAGTGCAGTGGAGGATGGCCCAGGTGCTTGAGCCCTGCACCCCATGGGAGACCAGGAAAAGCACCTGGCTCCTGGCTTCGGATCAGCACAGCACCGGCCGTGGTGGCCATTTGGGGGGTGAACCAATGGAAGGAAGACTTTTCTCTCTGTCTCTCTCATTATCTAACTCTGCCTGTCAAAAACAAATTCTTGAAGGTGGAGCACAAGTCTAAACATGAAATTCACTTGTGTTTCAGATACACTTGTACACACAGCCCGATTATAATTTCATACAGGATTTTCAGTGCGTCTACATTTTGACTACAACGCACCACACAAGGTCACGTGGAATTTTCCACTTGTATTACGTCAGTTCTCAAAAAGGTTCAGATTTTAGAGCATTTAGGGTTTGGGGTTTTCAGGTTAGGGATGATCACTTGTATGTTTTTAATCATAATACAATTTAGCTGAGAATCAATAACAAAGGGAAAATAATTCCAAGCATATTTGGGCACTTAATATATGGCAAAGGTGGCAGTAGCAGGGAGGAAAAGGTGGGCTTCCTGTGAACAGTGCTGGGCTTATTGTGCTTCCAATAAAAATAAATAAATAAAAGTAGACCCCTACCTACAACCATACTGAAAATCAATTCCAGGTGTGCCTAAATGGGAAGGAAAATCTAAAAATCTTTTATAAGATAAAAGAGGAAAACATCTGCATAACCATAAAATGAAGGAAATTTGAATAAATTTGAATTTATTAAAATATACCATTTAGAATACAAAGCAAGTGATAGGGTAGCAGAATTAAAACCCTTCTAGCCAACAAAAGTCTAGTACTCAGAGCATATGTTTACTAACTTCCACAATAGGAAATAGAGACCCCAGCAGGAATAAGTGGCAAGAGACTTCACACAAGAGGAAATATGAATAACCAGTGTACAAAAGTGTGCGCAAACTAGCAGTCAGGGAAATGCAAATTAAAGCCACGGCAAAATCCACCACCCACCCATCCGTGGACACAGATGTTAGAGCCCAGCAGTACCGAGTGCTGACACAGAGCAGGAGCCACCGGGGCTGCGAGGGGCTTCTGGAGCGTGGAAATTGGCCCAGCTGTTCCTGAAAACCATGTAAGTTTGCCTGCAGGAGTCAGGTTCTCTGTTCCCAGGTCTGGACCCTAAAGGCGTCCAGACGCACCTGTTCTAGGAGACACACAGATGGCGCCCACCGGCCCTGGTGTCGCTCACATCAGACCCGATGGCCATCCGCAGGAGAACGACCTAACAAATCGTGGCATATTTTCAACACAACTTTATGCAGGAATGAAAACAAATGAGATGCAGCCTCATACAAGTCTAGAAATGAATCTCGCAGGTGCAATATTCAACAAAAGAAGCCAGACACAGAACTTAACTGATGACATGAGGCTGGAACTCAGGCAAGGTTAGACCGCACTGCCAGGGACTCACGAGGACGGGTCGCCACCAGGGGCAGGGGGAGGGTTACTGCCGGGGAAAGGGGCATTCGTGGCTGGGGGTCCAGGACGCTCTAAGAACGCACCGGGGGTTCCCTGGGAGAGCCCCGTCTGTATACCAGGGGAACATGCTTGTCTAATGCACTTTCTGAATCTGCTGTGGCTCAGTTTCAAAAAGGAGGGACTTCAGGCAGCGGAGCCCACCTCCCTCCCCCTCACGGAAGCCGTTCCCAGGCTGCTCGGTTGGGGCATTTCTGTCTCGGGTCACCTGAGCTCCGGGGTACCAGGAGGAGCAGGAGAAGGGGAAGTCTGGGAGAAGGCAGGCATCTCAAGACACAGGGGCCCTGCGAGTGTGTGAGGGGTGGGGGCGCGTCGGGGCAGGGGCGGAGCGTGCTCACAACGGGGCAGAGCTCCCCATCCCTCCCCATGACTCTGGGTGGTATCATGAGTGAGGCAAAATGCTTCAGGATCCGCCTGGCCCAGGGCACCAGCCAGTGTGCAAGGACTGACCACATTACCCAAGCAGGATCGATCGGGAGAGCCCTAGCTGTGCCGGGCAGGAAGCCTGGCTTGTTGGACTTTGGGGGAGCCCAGAGGGACACCCCAAAGGGGAGCCAGGACACGTGGGGCAGTGAGACAGGAGCTGCTGAAAGGCCTGAGGGGGCTCCTGCTTTGCAGACCAGTACAGAAAGAACCACATTCGACCCGAGCCGGGGCAGACATTAGCTCTGTTTGCAAGCGACAGAGATCCAACCCCCCCCCCAAAAAAAAAAAGAGCTCACCCACTAGGAGGGAACTCAGGCAGCAGCCGGATCCAGGAGCCCGGGGGCCCCTGGGGAGAGCGTCTCCCCCTCTGGACTCTGCTTCCTTCTCTGTCGGCTCCGGCCTCAGGCAGACTGTGTCCGCGTGGTGGCAATAACGACCCTGTAAGTTGTCACACCCGCCTGTGACCTCAGAAAGGGACCTCCCTCTTCCCCAGTAATTCCAGCAAGAGCGCAGGGAGTCACGCCATTGGCCCCTGTTCCCACGCACACACTGTGTCCGGAGCACGCCGCACACGGCCATCGCTGCATCGCGGGTCTCCTACGCGGGTGGCCGGGAGCTGAGCTGACAGCTCTTCCCAGACAGGTGATTCTAGGAGGGGGGACGGTGGTGGACAGCTTTGCTCGCTGCACTGCACCCCTCACTTTCTCAGTGTCAACACAGTGTCAATACCTGCCCGCGCCGATGCTGTGGCTCAGAGCGGTAAAGCCGCCGTCTACAGCACCGGCATCCCATGTGGGTGCCAGTTCCAGCCCCGGCTGCTCCACGTCCCACCCAGCTCCCTGCTCCCTGCTGATGTGTCTGGGAAAGCAGTGGGAGATGGCCCAAGTGCTTGGGCCCCTGCACCCGTGTGGGAGACCAGGAAGAAGCCCCTGGCTCCTGGCTTCAGCC